TGTTAAACCAAGGAACCCAGGACTGAATAAGGCACCCGTGGATTAAACCAGACACCCCCAAAATGCAGAGGCAGGGTCAATTCCCACACCCCCCCATAACTTGCTGCCAAGTGACCCAGATGTCCCCCTGACCAGAGCATCCCTGGGGAGTCCCTGGGTGCCACCACCACGGGGTATTGTTTGCAGCCCCCTGGGATTTGGCTTTTGCTGGGGGGTGGTGGTGGTGGTGAGGGGATGCAGACAGGTTTTGGGGGGCGTGGGGTGTCCCCTCACCCTCTCACGCTCCTTGGCGTTGGCTGCTTGCCGTCGCTGCAGCATCTCGGCCAGGTCCCCAGCCGGTTGGTAGCCCCCGGCCGGCTGCCTGCGCAGGCGGGTGATGGCGGCGGCGCAGGGCAGGGGGCCGTAGCGTTGGCTCAGCACCACCTCCAGCACCTCGGGGGCCGGGGTGGGCAGCAGGACCCCCGCTGACAACCCCCCAGCTCCATTAGCCTCCCCCATACCTGGGGATGGGACAGACCCTGTGCCTCAACCTCACCGTGCTGTGCTGTCACCCAAAAAGAGGAAAAAACACTTAAAAGAGGGCCTTATGTCCCTGGGAGCCCAACGAGCTGCAGGTGGGGCTCAGCAGGGCCTAACGAGTGGGGTGGGGTGGGAGGGGGCTTGGCTGTGCCTCAGTTTCCCCCCTCGGCAGCTGGTGGCCACCTACCCAACTGCTGGTGGCCACGAAGCCTTGACCTGAAAAGGGACACGAAAACTTCCCTGGGGGGACAGGAGGGACCCTCACAGAGGGGCCTGATACCCCGGGGATGGGCATTGCCCGGCATTGCCTCCCCCAGGGAGGAAGAGGGCTTTGTCGGGGAGGCTTTGTGTCTCCCAAAAAAATGTGGGAAGCTCTTTTGGGTGGGGAACATGAAAAAGATGAGAGGTTTAATAAAGATGAGAGGTTTGATACCGGCAGGGCCGTCTCGGTAGATGGCAGTGTTAGTCCCTGCAAACGGCAGGAACCTCAGGGCAGCCAGAAAAAGGGGAGAAATCTCCTTCTGCCACCAAAAACTGAGGCCAGGGGTCACCCTGGGTCATTCACCCCGGAGAGGGAACCTCATCCCAGCCCCAGGATGGTTTTCCCGCTCCCAAAACTCTGTCCATCCACCCCTCTGGTGTTTTGGGGGAGAAACTCCCCCCCCCCAACAGGGTGGCTCAGGCCGGTTCTCCTGGGGCTGCTGGTGGGGAGCAGGTCCCCCGTGGGGTGTGTGGGGGACGGATGTGATCCCCCCCATGCAGGGCTGTGGCTGCCGTGCCTCAGTTTCCCCAGAGCTGAAAACACCTGGGGGGAGAGGCTGAAAACTGGCAACCTGCCGCTTTCCTCCTCGCCCCGGGGTGAACGGGGGCTGGAGGAGCAAATTGCAAAACCAACCCAAAACAAGCCTCGGAGACACCTTGGAGACAAACAAGCTTTTAATAGAACCTGGAAAAACCCATTTTCCCCTCTTTAATGCTCCGTAATGAGCTTCCCCATCCTGCAGCCAGATCCAGATAATCACATTATTACTGCCCCGATCGGGGGAGGGGGGTGGGAAGCGGATCTCACTAATTAATCCAAGCACAGGTGGGTTCAAAGCCGCCCCCAAAACAAGGGCTGTGCCCACCTGCTCGCTTTCATTTGGCAATGGAAGCATCTGAGGGGGAATGAGGGCTGCCGAAATCCCCCACCTCCCAGTTTTACAGCTGGGAAAAATAGTCCCGTTTTGGCTGTTTTGTGGATTAAAAATCAAGGGCAAAAATGGGAAGTGGAGGCACCGCGGTGGT